GAGCCCACCTGTGGTTTATACTGCCATTATGTTGAGCAGACATTAGTTACAGTTTCTGGGTGATAAGCATGTTATCTAACGTGATCAACATTCTGAACAAGGTTAGCACACTCAAAACTTCTGTCACGATGACTTATGACTTCTTGCTAGCATGACTATCGATGACCCCAAGGGTTCTGTCTTGCCAATTTCACTCACAAGGCTTGGGTCAACTTGTGGGGTGTGGTTTTCAAACCATTTCTAAAGGGGCAGCACACTAGGATAATATTATCAAGTGACCTTCCTGACGAATCGCCCATGGTAAGATTCGAAACTGGGTCTCATGGCTGGAAAACAAATGTTCTAACCATTCGTCCCTGTACCCATTGTGCACAAATCCAGGTTAGCAAATAAAATTGCCACATTTGCTTGATAAAATTCTTTAATGGACAAAACATGTTGGCTTATAAAGGTTTCCTCTTAGGTTTTTCTTTTGTTTATTTTATATTTACGAATATATTTTATTTGTATATGAATTTTTATATGCACACATACACACATACATACATACATATACACACACACATACATATATATATATATATATATATATATATATATATATATATTTTAAGACATTTTTATTTTTGTTTATACGTTCTTTTTATAAATACAAATATTTAAGTAAATGCTCTGTTTATAATAAACAGTATTAATAACATTTACCAGCCTGAATGTCCGAGAAATTTTCATAGAAAATATGCGTCCTCCGAGAGGAATTGATCCTGTATCCTATACAGAACCATCATATAGCCTGATGTGCCTTAATCGATTTAAGTAAATGCTCTGTTTATAATAAACAGTATTAATAACATTTAAAGCAGTAAAACTGACCTTGCTAACTGAACAATCCTTTGTGGCTCAATCGGTTAAGGCACGTCAGGTTATATGACAGTTCCATATAGGATACAGGTTCGATTCCTCTCGGCGGATGAATATTTTCTATGAAAATTGTTTTATCTGACATAATTTGATATAAGAAATAACATCGGAATTTTATAAAAAATTCATATAAAAATTATATATATATATATATATATATATATATATTATGAAAAGGACAAAGTTTGACAATTATTTTAAGACAGTTTTTATGTTTATATATTCTTTTTTATTATTAATGACATTTATCGGCCTGAATGTCTGAGAAATTTTCATAGTAAATATGGGTCCTCTGACAGAAATCGAACCTGTATCCTATACGGAACTGTCATATAGCCTGATGTGCTTTTACCGATTTCACCATAGAGGAGTGTTTGGTTAGCAAGATCAATTTTACTGTTTTTAAACTACAATTCTCCATGATTTTCTCTTGTACATTCATATCTGCTCGATGTGCATCCAAATGTAAACAAATGACGTCACTCATTATGAAATGGACAAAGCACGCCTGGCTATATGACGGTTCCATATAGGATAGAGGTTCAATTCCTTTTGGAGGACGCATATTTTCTATGGAAATTTCTCGGACATTCAGTATCAAGCCCTGTTTATCCTCAAGTGAGCTTGATACTTTAATTCAATTTAATTTTAATAATCATATTGAAGTTTTTGGCTCTTTTTTTGAAACATGACAACTCTTATGTAGCGAAGGAATCATAATTTTAAAAAAATAATTATAATTTAAGCTCTACTTCTGTATGGAGCACTGCTTTTTAAAAATAAAAACAAAAATACTAAAGAACTCCGGATTATTTTTAGGAGAGTACTTTGATTTGCTCACTGGTAAGGCTTGTCATTGCGTTCGTGCAGCATTGTAATTTTTGTACGCTTCCTTGGAGTAATGTCCATCACAGACAATGGCCATAAGACAACTAATTGACAGTAGAGACAATAGTGTTTGGGTGTGATGAAAATCTGATGCAATCACGGATGACGCAATGTTTATCAAGGTGAAACAAATTTCATCATACACCCCAAAAACAGATTCATATGACTGCACACCACTGCAACTGAACTAATCTGAGGTAAAAATAGAAATGAATTTTTCAATGAATTTTGACATCCATTCAACGCATGTCATTTTTTTTTTATCAACGAGAAAAGACAATAAGACCACCGGATTATATATCTTACTATTCTTTCTTTTTACTATATATATATATATATATATATATATATATATATATATATATATATATATATATATATATATATATATATATATATATATATATATATATATATATATATATATATATATGTAGCTAAGACAAAGAATTCCCTGCAGTTGATATGATTTTAGTTTGTGTAAAAAGCAGGACTTTGAATGGTTATTTTCAAGGTAGGCAGGCTGACCCTGCTCAGTAGGCTGATGTAACAGGAACAAATTTGTAGTCAGTACACAGGTATTCTTGTAAAATCCTGAAGCACTTTAGGCTATAAATAGCTATTTATCAAAGCATCTCTCCTCTTTTCTGTCTATTCTCTCTTGAAATGTCTCTTTCATTTTCACCACTTCGATCCTCTCCTGCTAACCACTTCTAATACTCTCTCCTGCCCTGACATCCCCCCTCCCCACCGTTTCTCTTCTCTGGAATCACTGTTCTTTCTACCATGTCCTCGTCATCTTCTTTCTTCATCTTATTTTGACTCCACCTCCTCAACAAATCCCAATTCCAATGGCAACTGATGACATTAACGTTGATATTATGAGAATCAAAGTCATGATAAGAGTATCATCATGGTTAAATAAGTTTGTGTCCTTTTTAACGGTTGTGTTGGAAACGGCATTGAAGCCGTGGGGTGGGGAGAATAGGCAACAGGGGCCATTACAACAGATGGTCTTCTCTTAGACAGCTGCAATGGTAAGGACAGACAGACAGATAGATAGATAGATAGATAGATAGATAGATAGATAGATATAATCAGACATATATTCATAGATATAAACAGAGATAACTAGATAGATAGATAGAGTTAAACAGCAGCAGATATAAACAGAGATATATAGATAAATAGATATAAAAAGAGATAGATAGATAGATAGATAGATAGATGGATAGATAAGGAAGGGACTAAGATAGATAGATAGATAGATAGATAGATAGATAGATAGATAAGGAAGGGACTAAGATAGATAGATAGATAAGGAAGGGACTAAGATAGATAGATAGATAGATAGATAGATAGATAGATAGATAGATAGATAGATATAATCAGACATATATTCATAGATATAAACAGAGATAACCAGATAGATAGATAGATAGATAGATAGATAGAGTTAAACAGCAGCAGATATAACCAGAGATATATAGATAAATAGATATAAAAAGAGATAGATAGATAGATAAGGAAGGGACTTAGATAGATAGATAGATAGATAGATAGATAGATAGATAGATATGAGCAGACTGGGATAGATAGATAGATAGATAGAGAACAGAAAGATTTCTATATATTATTAGAATGAGATCAATTGATAATGAAGAAATAGAGAGAGATCGATTTGAAATGACAAGGATAGATGAAATGAAGGAGAAACCGCTGTCTGATCTGATGTGTTTAATACCGCTTGGCCAAAGAGACCATCACAGCCGAGAAAGGTTCAGTTACCATAAGCCTTTCATTGGATGTATTTTTTAGCAGCCATATTGTTCTTGAGGGAGTTCACAAAGACAGTTATGCAGATAAATCTCTCAATTCAGTTCAGAAAATGAAATAAAAATCTAACAGGGTTTGTCATTGTCCCTCAGAAATGAAAACTAGCCTCTTTATTTATCTTCAGAAGAATGATAAAATGTGAAGTTGATTTTTGCAGATATAAATAACAGAGAGAGGTAGAAAGAATGAAGTCAAAGGGAGAGGGGGAGAGAATCATAAGAGAAGGAGAAGAAGAATCATGAGAGAGGGAGAGGGAAACCATGAGAGAGGAAAAGAGAAGGAAAGTGAGAGAGAAAGGGGAGGGAGAGAGAATCATGAGAGGGAGGGAAAATCATGAAAGGGGGAGAGGAAAGAGGTAGAGAGAGTCGTGAGAGGAAGAATCATGAGAGAGGGTGAGGGGGAGAGAATCATGAAAGGTGGAGGAAGAGAAAAAGAGAATTGTGAGAGTAGAAGAAGGAAGGAGGAGGGAGAGAGAATCTTGAGAGAAGGAGAGGAAGAATCATGAGAGAGGGAAAGGGGAGGAAAAACCATGAGGGAGGGATAGGTAACAATGAAAGAGGAAGAGAGGAAGTGAGGGAATTGTGAGGGAAGGAGGGAGGAGAGAAAGAATCATGAAAGAGGGAGAGGCAGAGAAAATCATGAAATAGAGAGCAAGAGTTAGAGAGAGAATTGTGAGAGAAGGGGAGAGAATAATGAGAGAGAGAGAGAGAGAGAGAGAGAGGGGGGAATCATGAGAGATGGAGAGGGAAGGAAAGCAAGAGGTAATTGTGAGGGGGAGGCAGAGAGAGCATCATGACAGAGGGAGAAGGGAAAGAGAATCAGGAAAGAGGGAGGAAGAGGGAGAGAGAATTGTGAGAGAAGGACAGGACAAATCATGAGAGAGGGAGAGGAAATATGAGAGATGGAGAGGGGATCAAGAGAGAGGAAGAGAGAAAAAACTAGAGAGAATTGTGAGGGAGGGAGAGAGAATGATGACCGAGGGAGAGAGAGACACAATCATGTAAGAGGGGAGAAGAATGGAAGAGAATCATGACAGATGGAGAGGGAATCACAGGAGAGGAAGAGAGAGACAATCATGAAAGAGGGAGGAAGAAGGGGAGAGAATCATGAGAGAAGAAGAGGGAGAATCATGAGAGCGGAAGAGCAAATCATGAGAGAGGAAGAGGGAAAGAGGGCGAAAGAAAATTTTGAGGGTGGGAGAGCGAGAGAGAATCATGAGTGCGGAAGAGAGAGTGAGAGCAAGAATGAAAATGAGAGGGAGAGAGAGAAATATGTCTTTGTGCCTGAGGCAGTTAGGGAATGGCATCTCTTCCAGTGACAACCAGTGTCAGCTCCATTTAGAAAAGTTAATATTA